ATTCACCAACCAAATCGGTTTTGTTTGTCCCACTAGTCCCAGTTGGGAGATGTCCCGTGTTTTGAAAACAAATCAACTAAAAAGAGAGTGTTTTAGCCTAGCCATCACAAACACCTCACTACGAGCGGGATGCGAACTCCGAATGATCGTTCCTGTCCCTCCTCAGTGCTTCCTCCTCAATATGAACACAAAATAGCGATTCTTCGCCTCCATCAGTATCTCAGCAGAACTTTTAGCCTTGTAAACTTGCTTTTTTCATAATTTTGCAGGTTTTTACAGAGTTTAGATGCTACAACAATAGGTCAGTTGTCGGAGTTAACATTAGATCCTGTCGCCATCTCCTCTTGCCCTTTTCTCACTGCTTCCAATTGGATAATTCGTATTCTGTCGTAAAAAAGAACGTTTGATGTTATTGAAGTCTCCTGCTGAAAGAGGTCAGCATCTCACTTGAGTCCTCACCTCTCTTCCTTCTGTCATCTCGACAGTAAACAGTAGAAAATGTTTGCATTCTTGTCCGTTACACTCATAGGCGGTTATAAAAAGGACTTTTCTGAGCATACACCTAACACAAAGCCTCTCTGAAACACAAAAGAGGCGTTTTAGATTACTTAAGCAAGATAAGAAATATTGTCCTCATCTGAGGTGTTTGTTAGAGGTCACTTTGCCGAAGCTTTGGTGTAATGCGGCAAAGTTTCCATTGAGACACAGTCCATTCCTTAATAAGCTTTTCAGGGTTCCGTCACCCACACTCATCCATGTTTTGCTCCTTTTAATGCCCAACTAGAAACTAGCCAGTGGGGAGACTTTCTCTCAGCCCGACCATCAAGAAGGTAAAATACTTTTTTTAAGTGTAAAAGTAAATTTTGACTACCACCAAACTAGTGTGGCCGTGACAGTGGGAGGCCAATTCATTGACGCAAATGCAAGTCGACGGTACTGATGGATGGAGAAATCATTCCTTCCATTTGAATGGTGAGGGAGATTAAAGCCAAACAACAAAACATTCACACATGCATGAAGGGAGATGAAAAACAAACAAACGACCTCATTGCATTGAAACAATTGGCCAACTAAAGTCGCCTTTTGGTAGTCTGAGATTGAAGATTCAAAACAGAAGGATGTGTAGATAATAATAATGGAAAAAAATTCTTGCGATTTGTTGTAAAGATAAGTCGTGTAGGTGTTTGATTGTCTGTCCAAACGGGAAATGCGCGTACATTGGAGGAGTTTGAGAGGGTTGAAGTAAAAATTAAAGGGTTGAGCCGCCGACTGGATGATCGTCAGAATGATAATTGAAACTTTGCCCAGGACGAGAGCTTTACGTAACTCGTTTTTAATTTTGCAAGATAAATAATGAGGAGAAAACTTAGTTCTTCCGATGAACTCAAAAAGTCAAATGAAATTTATTGATTTCCTGTCATGCAAACGTTTAAGTATTTGTGTTGTCATTGAAGAAGCCTAAAATTGTGCCAAATTACTCCCTTGAAAGATGTTCAAGCACGATGCCTCGTTGTTTTGAGTCTTTTGTTAGGTGTAAGAAGGAGCCAAATAGTCGTGCCACGGAGAAGAGGCGGTCGCGAAGCCCCTTTTACCACTACTAAGCGCTGTCCTCGGCGAGATCCTCCGATCATTCTGCCTCGTCGGCTGCTACACCATAGTCGGAGCTTTAAAAACTGGAAGAGCTTACAGCGGTAGCTATTAAATTTTCATGTAGACAAGAGGGTACATGACTCAAAGGCAGCATTTCATTATGTCATGGCAGAATTTTTAGAATTCAAGACGAATAAGTTTACTGCCTCCGCATAGTTTCAAGCTATTTGTAAAGACGATGCCTGCAAACCAGAATTATTGAGCCGAGGACTGTGAAAAAACTACTTTAGCAAGCTAACACTCCAGCATTGGGAGCATTGTTTATATGGGTAGCAAACGCCTCCCCATGCGTACTGCAGACCGAATCAATACAATATCATTTTTCGAAATATAATCTACCTCCATCAGTTCAGGTTAATATAGTGGATTCAAACAAAACAATTTCGTGTTTTTGGTTGAAGGGCAGACTTTACTGTCATTGTGAGACAAAAAAGGCGCTTCTATTAGTGGCATAACTAAGTCGTCTGATCGAGTGTATGGGGGCGGGGAGGACGTTATCCTCCTACTCAAGGACTGTATAGTCGCGCCTGCAACTTTTTTTGATATTTGGACAATAACTGAAAATTTAGCTTAATTAGTTTCAGGAAGCTTCCCTTTTGCGCACAATTTTCCACATTTTAACTTTAAAACACATTTAACAAAGATATACAGGTGATTTCCTTTTGTTCTTGTGAAGTCATTTCCTCTACAAACCACCTGCATATGGCTGATGCTTATGAGTCTCGATCAAAAAAGCAGCTAAATTACTCGCTGAATTTCCTTAAGGATACAGCCGTATGTAAAAATATAAAAATACTTCTACCTTATTCATTTAAGTAGCGTGCATATAAGTAGCAAAGTTTATAAAAGAGGGATGATCATTTCATCCATTTAGGTGAGAACATCCATTTCGCAGTTCATAATAAGTGATTATGGTTTTGTTCTGACTTTGATGTGCTTATTAACAAAATTTTATGTGAATGGATTAATGGATAACAAGAATCAAGCTTTTTTTGGAAGTGCGTACACGTTGCGGTGAAAACAGTTGAATTTTTATCTGAATGCCTTCATAGTAATGCGCTGGGTTCCAGATAGGAAACCAGTGGCAATTTAAAATCGAGGATTAGGATTTAAATCAACATAGTGGTAAATGTTCGTCACACCATATAGGCAGTGGTCAGTAGATAATCCCTCCTGCACTCCCATCCAATAGCACAATTCCGTCACATCAAAGCCACGGTTTGATTAGTTGTCATCTTGCAAGAATTTCGTTTGTAATCGCTGGTCCTACTCTCTCATTGGCTGTTCTTCAACCTAACACTTCGACCGATTGTATCGATTTTATCTCCCACGATTTCTGTAATGTGCGTTACTATTGGCCTAGGCAGAACAACCAGCGAATACTTCAAAACTTTGTGATGCTTTTGAAAGTTAAAATCTTGTTTTTTTAACAGTAAACCATATTTCCTCTTTGCTTTATAGAAAAGTTATCCATTTTGCAAATAAATGTGTAGGTGGGTAGACTGACCTACAAGTGCACAGAATTGCAAGCCAATTTTCTGTTAGCAATTTTGCCCGCTCTGAGGGCATCATAATTGAACGCGTCATATAAACGATTCTTCATGGCCAACGAATGGATAAAAACACCCGTTTCTCCTATGTCAGTCATTTACCTTCTAGCTGGAAATATGGGAAGCATGTTATTTTAATAAGGAACTCTTACGAGCCTATGGTAATTTGCATACACGGAAAGGATCTCATCATGATTAACTGATAGTTCCCTTCTTCTGGTAGTTTTTTGATAAGAAGACATTCTTACTTAAGCTATGGTGGAGCCCATTTGTTTATTTGCTTTAATTAGACCCTTCAAAGTAAAGGTTAAGACAGAAGGATATGGCTTTCGTCTACCTGATCAAACAATATTTATAACTATTTCTTAATTCAAATCATAACTCCTGATACAATGAAATGGTCTAAATTGAGTTTAAACCTCATCGGAGTTTGTGATGTTACTTTGGGAGTACTTTACCAGCCTTCTGTGCAGTGCATTGGCGGGAGGATTCCAGGAAATATTGGAGTAGTCAAAGAGCAGCAACTCAGTTTTAAAATAGGCAAATGCTCTGCAGATTTTATATTTCGTTAGCTGATCAAACATCTGTGATCAGCCGCTGACGCAGGGATGCAAATTGACGCCTTTGCACCGAGGCGCTGGAATTTGAAGAGGAACAAAGACGTAAATGAAATAGTGATGGGTGCTTTTGTGTAAACAAACGAACCGAGTGGGGGCTACTTATTCCCTATTTAAGTAACACACTCACCAATTTATTCGCTAATTAATAATCCATCTCTATTCTTTGGAAGGTATGTATTGGATTTGCACCTACTACTAACCTAAAAAGAAATCGATAATCAATACACCCGACCGCTCGTCAATTTATTTGCCATTTTAGCATCCGCCTTGGGGCCTATCTGTTCTCTAGACTTTTAGGACTAATTTAATAATACTCTTGCGTGTTGAGGTAGGCTCAAACAGGAAAAAGATGAAATCCACCTCAGCAAGTATTGGAACTTCAATTGGAGGTTAAACTGTGGTGGAAGAGTTAAAGGATGCTTAATGGCAAAGAGAGAGGATCGTTATGACGGTGAAAAGATAAGCGTAACTCGTCTAGAAACAAAACACAATGCTATGAATGAGATTATGCATATCCGACCCGATTGCTGTCACGGCGCAGATCACCACCAACCGCTAACACTGGCATTGTGTGAGAAGTGAGGACATCAGAGTTTGGACGGATGGATAGGCGGATGATTTGCATTTGATTTGAAGGCAGGTTAACCAGTCAGCCGCATGCTACCACTGCCCTGCACGCGGATTGGCTTAGGCGCTGGCGTGCACCTGTCTGCCTCACACACACCCTCGCACGCATGCCTACACTTCTAAAAGGCAGACACGTGCGTGCATTCGTGCATGCATGTCTGCGTGTCCACTTAAAAGCCTCTCCACATCTTGCGTGCGTGCGTGCGTGCGTGTGTCTACGCGACTGCATAAATTGTCCACTAGCCGGAGCATGTAGTAACTCGCCTCTTAAACCACCCACATAAGCACATTTATCTTGTATTAATCAGCTTTTATTTATATACATACATATTCACACCTTTTGGAAAGGAGATCAGGTGATATATACGCAAGACGTCTCAACAAATTGGATTTACCGGCTGTTATCCTTTCCTCAACTATGTGGATTATTTGTGGATAGTACCAGTGCTGAAACCAGTCCAGACACGCTGCTTGCAGCCAGAAAGCATTGCATACAACACCACCCTCCTTCCGTGACGGCTTGCGTATGTGGCGATTCTGCTGTATCCTAGGCCGCAAAGAATCAAAAATCATTGAGATACAGCATCATTCCAAGGCCTCTGCTGACCTCCTACCTACAGTCGCCACTGAACCGGCTTCCAGTTTGGTTAGTCTGTGTTGTGACGATTGTCGAAGACCCTCTTGGAACAAATCTAACGGTCACGCTACTGATAATCCAGCTCGACGTCATTCGACTCCCTATTTTGAAGTTGATTTGGAGACAGGACGTCGTCCGACGTTGGTTGTAGAGGCCACAGCCCGACTAGCCGTCGCAGAATCTGTGGATCTTGAGCATAGTCGGAGGAGTTCAAGTATCAGTGCTCAGGCTGTCTACAAACCTCTTGGAGGGAGGATGAGTCGTCGCAAAGTGATGCCTGGAAGGAAACCGGATTCTGTCGAAGTGAGACCTCGTTCCTTGGAAACTGATATTCCCATTGAGGGCGACTCCTCCTCCAGATGTGTTCCGACATGTCGAAAGAAGACAGGATTCATTAAATTACGCTCCTCGGGCTCCTCCTTCCGTAAACGGATTTTGACTAAAAAGAATGATAGGAGTGGCTTTTCTCGACTCAATTTTATGTCTCGAAGTAGACCGAAGGGATGTGGTGATACCACAGCCTCTCAGATGCAAACTGTCCCTCTGAATAGTGCTAGAATGACTCCCAGCTCACGACGTGATTCCCTCTACATTTTTAGCCATACCGATGAACCCATTGTCACACCGTTCGCACAAATTCTGGCCAGTCTTCGAAAGGTCCGCGCAAACTTTATATGTCTTACCAACGTGCACAGCTCGAAGGAGTAAGTCCACCTTTCTCCTCTCTGTCCCAGTACGGAGGGGAAAGAATGTAATTGCCATGGCCTTTTCTTCTGTCCTTATTCTTAACTGCTTTGCCTTTGTGCCTCTAACTTTTATCCCTTTACCTTCCTCACCCACCTCCGCCTCCATGCTTGTGGGTTACTTTTTGTGCTAAGAATGATGGGCTTCTATGTACCGCCCCACCCAGCTTTGCGGTTTGGTGGATGTCAAATTACACTGCTAAGCTTTGGACTAGTACTGTCCGGAAAGGAGTTTTTAAATGTATAATTTGCAACACTGTCCTCATCTCATTTTGCCAAAGCTGAGAAAGTGTGAAATTGTCTCTCCATTAATCTCGATTTTGGATGTGATGCATTACCATGTGTGTGTGTGTGTGGATTGTTGGAAGCAAGATTTGATTATAACTTAACATTCCTTCGTCCTCTTCCACTTGAAGGCGTTTTCTCGACGTCAGAGACGCGTCACTTGGAGTGGTCATTATGGTGTAACCAAAGTAGGCATAAATCAGGTATACCAATATTGCACAGTGATGATGGTTATTATTGTCGTCCTTATTTGGCAACCTCATCCTCAACCTTAATTGATCCCCTTTCCAAAAATTCATGCAATCTCACCATGTGATCTGGATCGGAGCATTAGTGGTTACGCCCTATCATCTAAGTCATCTCCTTCCGCTAATTCACTGAATTAACTAGGCGACTTGAACACTTGGCTCAGGCCACTCCAGTTTAGTGATCGCATCACTCACTTTGCACACGGCGCCTAATCGCATGAACCCCATTTTCTCATCTCATCAAGCTCTCACAAATCACCACCTGAATAATCACTCATTTCATCATCGAGGCTAAAATCCTATCATGAGTGGAAATGAGGTCACTCTCACCCTCGTTTGAGGTGAGTGTGGGTGTGTGCGTGGGTCGGTGTATGTGGGTTCTACAATCAAGGCGTGGTTAACCAAAAGCCTCCAATTATAGCCTCCATTCTTCACATAAGCACATTTGAGCTTCCTTCGGAGTTCCTTGTTGGTTCTCTGATTTCCTAACCCACATAGATGCGTTTATGTGCGATAAGGTGAGACAATCTGAGGCCTTTCAGTTTGTGCACCTAGAATTTTCCATTTTTTTTTCGCCCTGTGAGAATCTTGGCTGTTATAGTCGATGAGCAATCTAATGTCAATCATGTTTTGACATATTTATGCATGTTGATTTTAATGGAGCAAATATGTCGGTCATCTTCGTCTCATGCTTCTGCACCAATTTCCTCACCTCAAATACACTAATCCACTGTGGTGTGAGCATCTCATCGACAACTTTATTTCATTTTGTTCTTTAATCTTGTGCTTCGTTACTTTCCTCCCACGAAACGTGGCTCCGTTAAGGGGTGTGTCGTGGCACTGACGATAGCAAAAAAAATGTCTTTCGGAGTTTTGATTTATATCGTGGCCTTGTTGTTTTTTGGCAACCTCATATTTCTATGCCCTTTCGAAGGCAAAAGAAACGTTGGTAACGCGATCTCTGTTTTCTTGTCGTAAATGGCTTCTATTTTTATTTCCTTCTCCCTTCTTTTGTCATGCTACTGGGGTTGCCTGTCTAGAAGGATGGCGTATCAAAAAACACCATCTCAAATAACGAGTCCCGTTTTGAGTGTCACTTTTTTCTCCTCTTTTTTGTTAAACTTTGGTTGAGACGAGGTGACTGCTGCTTTGTGAATAAAGCTTGGTAATTGTTTCACTTTAAAGAGCAACTCTACACTCATTGTCTTAGAATTGATGCTGAAGGCAGTTGTGGAGAGCTTAGATTTCTAGCTCCCTTTGTGGTACACACTGTGCCGTGCGCATGTGATAAAGGCCAAATCTTTGAAGCAGAAGTCCACTTTCTCTCTCTCACCTGGTTTTTCCTCTCCCTTTTGTTTTCGAATCTTTCAATTTGTCAATCTGTGATGATCTGAGCAAGTCTGCGTTACCAGTGGGTGGGTGCTTATGTAAATGTCGTGTCAGGCGATGCATTTTTGGACTCTTCTTCCCGCTACCACCCTTTACGGAGCTTTTTTTACACTTCTTACCTTTGGCTTCACATGGTTGCGGAACGGACATTACCATAAAACTCATCGAGGTGACTAATCACGAACACTGTCATCGTCACCATGACAAAGTGGAGTGGGTGTGCTTTGTTGACAATTCCGGCCCACAGCCTTCTTGATTATTCACTCTTCTGAAGTTTATGCCTTGCGGAAGGGGATCGTGGAGGACTTCCACCATTTACTTTAAGTGGATTTTTGCATTCGAATCAGGAAATAATTAAAGGGGTGAGAAATGCTGTTATCGGATAAGAAAAGTGTGAGAAACTATAAATAACCTTCAATTTATGCTTTTTGCCTTATTGGACGACCTGTGGAATCTGCAAATGCGGGTGAAAATCAAGAAGATTCTAGAGTTAGCGTGAATCCGAATAGGTTCGCACTTTCTCTTCCGCTCCCGATTTGCGTAAAAGTAAATTTAGAATAACATGGTGTGAGCAAATTTAGTAACTCGCAAATTAAGGATTTTGGTCGGTATGTCATAAAACAGCAGCATCTGACGGTTTGGATTGGTGGGCGATTTTGGTGGGTAAATTTTTGCGAGTTGATATCAATTGTTATGCTTTCCAAAGATTCAGTCTTTTATTCCCTCCTTCCAAAATGGGACCAGTACGGTGGATGGGTTTATCCTTCCACAGTTTGTGAAGGAACTGAAAGTAAGCACAGGCATCTCCATTTGTCCCTACAGCTTAACTTTATATTTAAGTTACCTTGGGAACAGCATTTCTTCCGTTCTTAAGAAAAAAAGCGCCTCCCAAACGGCTAGGTGGACAAACTGCGAAATCCTATAGGCAATGAGTCATTTGTCTGCGAGGCAATCATCCTACCAGTATAGAAAGAGATAAGTGGGAAGGCAGATGTCGTGATGTGGCCAGTTTTCTGCGATGGAATTGCTAGTTGGGATTTGGAGAAGTGGGTGGGCCAAATTTATGACCCGCGTGACCTTAAAATTTTATACATCTCCCCTCTACTTTACTCCTTCTCACTTTATCCTTTCCTTTTCAGTTCCCGATTCGGAACCTCTCACGCTGAAGAGCCACGTCGAATTCCATGTCCCGGTCAGTTCCCAGAACTCACTCATCTTGTCTTTCTGCAAAGGATTACCATCCGTTTAGTATTTTATCGCTTTTTTAGAAGAAACTGTGAAAAAAAAACAAGTAGCTATATGAAAGTTGAATTCATCTGTCTTCGAGTTTCCTGTTACCAAAAGACTAAGTTATTTACTAGACGCCCTTACAATAGAAGGCTACGAACCTTGCTTAGACATTGGCCAGACTTGTCGCTGATTGGTTGAAAGTTTTTTTCTCTTTTGCAGTTACAGACGACCCTCCCAACAGTCTGGCTGTGGAGACCCTGGAGGAACTAGAATGGTGCCTGGAACGGCTAGAGAGCATTCAAACCCACCGTTCTGTCAGTGATATGGCCTCCAGTAAGGTTAGTGCTCCTCCACTTCTAAACATTTTTTTCTACAGGAGATATTTGGGAAAAGTTGCGTTGAGACTTTGCTTACGAATGGGTGACATGGAAGACTCGAGTAGATGTAACACTAAAATCTCCTTCTTTGTCATTATGCATGTTAAGTAACTGTTTTCCAAGCCTTGAGTCCAAGGATTGTGGAAAGTCACTGGATGATACCACGTATTTTCGGCTCTCTCTTGGACGGCTATTCCAGATTCTAGGTATCATCGTCGTGTAGTCATTACTGAATTTTGATGTGGGTTTTTATGTAAGTATCAATATTTTATGCTCACTTATGAATGTAGGCTGAACTGGCGTGATTTGTAATTGTAATTTCTAACCCTTATAACCGGTTGAAATTCTATTTCGCTTCCTGGGTCATGATGGTGTAGGAACAAGATGGTTCCATCTATGAGTACAAAGCTGATAGTGTAAAAAAAAATGAAATTGAGATTTGCAGCCCTCCCTTGCTTTGCGATCCTGGCGCGTAAATATGACTATCCATCTATCTAACCATCTATCCACCTATTTATCTGCTTACCCACCTACCTATCTGCTTATCTATTTGCCTATCCACCTACCTCTCTCATTCACTCCTTTTCACTGTGCCTTTGCACGTGTGATGCCTCGACCTTGCCAGCCAATGGTAGTGCGGCGTTTTGGCCGAGAGAAAAGTGATTTGTGGATGGACGTGCATGCATCCACTCAAGCACGTAGGCCTGGACCCTACTGGCAGCTTACTTCTGCATCAATACCTGGCCACTGCCACTGCTGCCGCTGTTGCTGCTGCTGCGGCTGCGCCTGCTGCTGCTGCCTCAGTTACTGTTGCTGTCACCGCTGGCTCTAAGAGTTGAACTTGACCAGCCTTTTGTCAGTTTAAATTTTCTTGAACTTTTCAAGTCGGAGGTGTTTCTTCTAGCCCTCGGAATGGAAAAAGTATTTGCTTTAATTGAACCACAATCAGCTTATTCACCGTGTCCTGATTGCACTGCACATCTGAGTGCACGCTCTTTTGTCCATCACAGCCGACCCTTTCAGGTGCCTTAAGAGTTTGTAAACAAAGCTAAACCATTTGAAATTAAATTATTGCGAAAGTTTCCCACGTATTGGTGGAAAAGTTGAACTTAAGTGATCTTCCTATCAAATGGATTTCAAATGCCTCCGTTCAGACAAACAAACAGTGTTTTTCGTTTCTGTGTAACGATTCTCTTGTTTATCCGGGAGCTTCTTTTTTGTGAAAGAACTAATTTTTTATCGTAAAATTTATTAAAACTTGTACAGCCCTAGAGGTGTTATATTTCGCTGTTACATCAGTAGAGGAGAAGTGCCTAAGAGGCGTTTCCGTTTGGTTCTTCCGAGTACTACCCGCATGGCTCTTATTTGGTGACAATGTTATGAATCATTCCTGACAGACCTCTTCCCTATTTAATGTCTCGAAGTGGGTGGAATCTCCTGTTCTGCTCCCCTTGCTTTGCAAGAAAATCGCAATGACCAAATGTGCGGTTTTCGACAGAAACGCTAGCTGGTAGTTAGAACTGAATCAGGCTGTTGAAATCATTTCATAGCTCTCCGTGGTATTTTTCACGTTATTTCGAACCCTCATGCTACAAAATGCCGGTAGCACCTAACTACAAACTTGATTTGAACCCGTCAGCTATGCGAACGGTGTTTTTTTTTCGATTTCAAAGCTGTAAGAGCCTTTTGCCGAAGTTGTGGCATCTAATTTAGGGGTGAGGTGATGGGAAGTAGGAGAACGCGTCTCCTGCTCATAGGTGGATTCGTCGCCTTTTAAGCGATCTTCCCTTCTTGATGATCAGGGAGAAGTTGAAACAGAGCTGACCAAGTTTTTTTTTACTTCTAGGAACAAGACTTTTTGAAGTGGAATTCTTAGAAAGGAGGCATTCCTCTGGTCTAAGAATTAATTCTCAGTAGGGAAGCAGCTTAGCACCTGAGGCCTTCTTAATGGGCTATCATTAGGGCAGATTACCAAACTATTACTGCTATGTTCCATTCGAAGGAGGCACAATGACAACTCCTTCAGTGCCTATGGAATGAGGAGTTGCACAATCAACTAGGGTTTTGCACGCGATTTTTCCCGTTTAACCTCGTCAACTTGTGGCAAAAGTCTTGTCAACTGACGCCTCCCTTTTTTGGAGGAAAATGGCCCGTAATGAGTTGGTCGTTTCCTTTATGCTACCCTCTCCAATTCTAACAACTGACAGTGTTATGCTTTTAATTTGCGTGAGTTTGCCAAGGTGATGATTGACATGCCTACTTCATGAGACAGTCAAGTCGCCATCTGAACAGGTAGTTTCTTCAACATTCGAGTTTCTTCCCCTTTAATAAGCGTTTGCGTCCGAACCTAAAACTGTCGTGTGTGGGGACACGCACAGCCGAACGCCAGACAAGCTATATTTGGCAGGTGATTTGGCAGAGAGCCCCAAAATGCCAAATGAATTAATTTTTATGGCCGCTATTCCGTCGAAATTGCCCATGCAACTCCTCCTACTAGGTAGTGCGTCTAATTCACTCAAGATGTTGAGCCTTAATGCGCCTTTTCCTTATCAACATTGAAGTGAAATTTCATTGCTCTTCTTGTCTTTGATATGGTTGCTGAAAGTTGATTCTGTGCAACAAATAAGGCCTGCTGTCTTCTCTCTTGAGCAAAGCTTTCTCTAAATGTTTCGTGGCACCCTGTTTTACCAATGATCGTTGGATGAAGAGTAGTTTAATCTTATCAAACATTGCAAACAAATGTGTCAAACCAAAGTCGTTTAAAGTCCTTAATGCTATTGTGGCATTTAATCACGTTTTTTAATGCTCCAGTGTACTTCCACAGAACAGCATAACTTTGGAGACATGTCAGAATCTGTCAAACTCTTTTGAAAGACAATACTGCCTTGGCTCTTGGAGTATTTTACTCTCCTTTGCATTTTTTGGGGCGGTTTCGCGGCCTCAAGATGCCGCAGGGCACCAAATTTGGTGCAATGCACGCGAAGTATTTATCGTTGTTTGTGATCAGTAGATGCGCGAAGCAGTGGCGATATCGTCTTGCCTAAGTGCGGCGTCGACGTAAATTGTCACTTCAAAAAACGCAAGACTATGTAAATACACCCTTTTTTGTAGAGAAAAGTTAGTTACTTCGAGGCTGACTTGGTTAACTTTGTTATTTACCGCGATGAAAGTGCCATCTTATATTCTCCCTCGTAAATGGTAGCTTCTGTCAATTTAATTGACATTGACACAGAAATGAGTCTATCCACTACCACCTCTCTACACTTCCTTTCTGCGAATTTCTTTGTAGTGCCGATCAGTACTGGATTGTCGCCGTACTCGGTTTTCTAAGGCAATCCACCTAGGTGTCCTTTTTAATTGATGAAAGTCGAGAAATGCCATAACTTTGACGGCTTACTCCGTGCTGTAAATCTCCATTTGACCTTTTCATAGGTTGGAAGAAAACATAGGTCATTAAGGGTTTCCGAATACCCGATGGCTCCTCCCGTCATTACTAACTCGTTTTCAAAAAGGAAGCTGTAGTTAGTCCTAGTAATCCTTATCTCGCTTCCAATTCTTGATTAGGTCGTGTCATCAGTCACCTTGAACCTCGATTCATTCTTCAATCTTGCCTTCTCAGTAAATAAGAAAAATGAATGTTTTTATCTCCATCTGTGGTTACATACTCCCAAAAGTTTTTTGATGGGATTGAGTATTTTTGAATGCGCCACGAACTTGGACCCTTACTCATTCAAAGTACCTCTAGAAGTCGGAATTTTCGGCGCTGCACCTTTCTTCTAAGATCATGTCTGAATATCAGCTGCCGCATTCCTCAAACACTATCCATGACCTAGATTAAGTAAGATAGTACAAATACCTGCTAAACAAGAACCGCATTACGCCCGCTTTATTGCACCAAACTCAAACGGTCTAGTAAAGGAACAGGTTGGTGTGGAGGAGCATTGTAGACTGATAAAGAATGCACTCCATCATGCTACTGAAGGCTGCGGGTCCACTGCAAACGGAGTGCCTCCCCGGTCAACCGGTATCGTTTAAGAGATTTTTTTTTGTAAATTCTCTTTTACAATCCAGCAGCGTGGCTCTTGTTAACAGTGCATTCAACCCTATCTAAACAATCTGAAGGTATAATAGTGAGGCAAAGGTTCTCATGACGCATTTCATCTCTACTTATTCAATCGTTGTTAGTTCAACGCTAGCACACATTGTTGCATGGCGCGCATTTATTAATTCAGTGAAAAGGTCGGATTTTTGGCGGTTGTATTAGAAGTTTTAAGGTGTTTTAATAGTCCGAAGTCTCTAGACTACGGTTGGGTGACCTCCGCTTGACAACTCACCTTGGTGTATTTTTATTAATACTTAAGAGATCGCGTTGTTCTAGCTTCTGCCTGAATAATTTAGCTCACAGCCCTTCTCCTGTCCGCTCTAGAAGACGTGATGCATACCTCCAAGTGAACCCACATTACCTTGGTTGCTACCCTTCAGTAAATGCGCTACTGATGAATGTAGTGGAATTACAGAGCCAAAGAGTTAGAGTCACTACCTTTCTGATCCACGCAAATTGCAAAAGGCGGAAGTAATGGCAGAGTTTGAGAAGAGGGGGAAAAGAATTGTGGCTACAGTCGAGATAACAACACCACCAACGGTTAATGTATTGTCTCTGGGTTGGTGTATGACTTTGTTACTCTAGTGTACTTTCAATGAAGTCACAGAAAGGAGGGAAAGAGGTATTCTTTTTGAGGAGTATCACATGATGCTCTGTCGTGATTCCACCTACTATTCGCCTCTAAATTATGGGTTTTTGGGCACAAAAAATGCATAAAATGGTTGCGGTTGATGTGCACTTTTGGAGCAGAGAAAGAGCGAAGGGAGGACGAAAGTGCTTCCAATTTTAGCATCACAAATGCTTTCAGAGTTTTGAACTTGGGTTTTACTATTCGTAGACTGGTGCTAATGCTGATCCAAAATTTGAAGTTTTATGCTCTTTTAAACGCTCTTCTCGATCAAACCTAACGAGTCTGTGTGGACGTACTTATCAGAAGACTGTAGTCATGATTCATTTCTGGGCAGTATCTAATCTGTCCCTTTACGGTATTCACTCATCCCATGCGTTTGACCATGACAGTTATTTGAAAGACGGAAACCACAAACTCCCTTTATTGCTCATTTTATAGTTCAAAAAGATGCTGAACAAGGAGCTCAGCCAAGTGTATGATGGAGACAAGATTAGCTCCCAAATCTCTGAGTACATATGCTCCACTTTTCTGGATCAAGACGAACAGACCACCGACAATCAGCTACCAGGTATTAGTGGCAATGGTGGTGGTGGTGCCAATGAGGAGGGAGGCAACGAAGGTGCTGCTGCGTCTTCCGCTTTAGTGGCGGCCGTGGCAGCAGCGGCTTCCGCTGCAGCAGCAGCTGCTGCCTCTAAGGCTACAGATACCGTCAAAAGTGGCGGTGTTGGCGTTGTCGATGTTGGTGTTGGCATCACAGAACAGAAGACAATCACTGCTGGAAGTAGCACAGACTTCCGAAAAATGCAACATGAAGGACAACAGGGACCGTCTATGGGATCATCAGTGATTGTTCGACTGGATCGAAGTACAGCACAGAAGTTGGCTGCCGCCGCTGCAGCTTCCGAGGTAAGAGGCTTGCGCTAAGCCGTTAGGGCAATTAAAACTCTTTGAGTGCCGTCTGTCCATTGGCTAAGCCATAATACTAGAGTGAAATGCCTAGACTGGGCAGATTCTGGTGTTTACCGAAAGCTTAACAAAAAGGTTAACTTTTCTAAACAATCTGATGGAAATGGTTCTGGGTGAGATTTTATGATTACAATAGCTACGAACAAAAACGATCTCATCTCTTGGCGTTTGGAGCATTCACGACTTTATGCCATGTTCGGTAGTTTATAACTGGGAACCTTGTGAAAGCATTTACAATCTCGTGGAAGCGGATATCCCTTTTTCTCTATTATTGAGTTCGTTCCACACTACTATGAAACTGAAATCAAGGAAATTTTCAACCCGATTGCCTTTAAATTACTCTGTTATTTATGTATTGGATTATTTTACGACTCAAGTAACCATCATTCTCACCGTGGATTGGGTTTTAGAAGTGTTTTATGAGTTCACCCTCCACCCTACTCCTCCCAGGAGAGTTGAAAATGCTGAGAGTAAGTGATTGTGACATTGCAAGGAGGAGAGCTATTTGCGAACACCGATTGAGAGGCTAAATTTTAGTCCGATCGGGTGACAGTGTGTTAATTTGATCATGCAATTCATGCGGACTTGCACAATTTTCTTTCAAAATATTTCAGCACCTGAAAATTGCTTAATATTAAAAACAAATGCGTGGTATGGGGCGGTGTAAGTCAAATAGCTATTTTAACATTAGTGGTTAGTGGCGATTCGTCCTGGCGTCCTGCTTTAAAGAACCTTTAAAACTGCAAAGTCTGTCCAAATGTCGCAGACCAACACGTCCCTTGAGTGAGTTCGCTGCAGCTCATTTGTCATTCATTCCTTCATGGTTGAGACTGTGCATGGCTGTAAGGCCCTACGCAGCCATCAAGACTGTGGCCTTGGACCACCAGATCGCATCATCATCATCATCACCACAATCGTCATCATCATCGTTGCCGCAACCATCACCGCCACCGCCACCGCAATCGTCATCATAATTACGGACTGACGTAGGTAGAGAGGTGCGCCTATCCGTCCTTGCAGTGTTTACATTCGAAGGGCGTAGTGTTGACCGCCCAAAAAGTGATGAGAGGTCTCGAGGCGCTGAAAGTTAGTGTCAGCATGAACGTGAGCGTGAGCGCAAGCGCGAGCGTCATCATCAGCGCAATCGGCGGCTGATAAAGTCAATCAGAAGAGCGGAGAGTGGATGGTGGTGGGCTGGATTGTACGCATTGGTGGACACACAATGGAGTGTGATATGCATGGACGGCATTGGCACTCTGTGGCTCTATGATTGTGGTCTGGTGGCATGAGGATGGACGGTGATGGTGATGGTGGTGATGTGGAGGGAGGAGAGGAAGAAGGAGAAGGGAGGGGAGGTGGGAAAGGGAAGGTGGAGGGTGGAAGAATGAATCGGAGTGAAGTGAATCGACCGGAGGTATGCATGTCAGCTTAACTGGTCAGCAATTCGGTTTTGTCTTGATCGACAATCTGAAAGGGAACGTTTGCATTAGTGAATTCTTCCATCTGAATTTTTTTAAAAAATCACTCTTCAGTCATTTTTTCTGTACTAAATTCAATTGCGTCAATGCCAAATGCCTTAAGATTCTTCTTCGCATTTGCCTTTGCATCAACGTGTGTCGTTGTAATCTTAAACGAACCTTTATCCATATCTCATACGCCCTCAGTGCTTCCACTAATTGCATTCATTTTATCGCTGCTGCGTCACTACCAAAAGAAGCGGCCTAGTGAGGCGTTGCTTGGTCCTGGCCGCCTGAGCGACTCACACAGATCCTCCGCTGCGTCTGCTGCCTCTGTTTCCTCCCCTTTTGTACCGAGTATTTTGGGTGCCAACGGGGGTGTGACAGGACTCGGCGTAGATCCTAAGAAGGTGGTACAGTTTGAGGATCTGCCAGAGCCCCCACCTCACTATGGAGTTGTTCCCGAGCATTCGGAAGAAATTAGTGAGGTAAGGCACTTTATATTACTGGCATTTGTGGATACGGTGCTTCCTTATCCACGAATGCCATTAACATTAACATTTCATACGTTTGCTTTCACCTTTTGTTCATTTAGTCATGTTTTTGATGATTTTCCTGCACCTGCATGAGACACACGAGACGTGTCAGTCAATTTTCAGCCATTTATACAATGCATTCAGTGTATATTTTTTTCTTTCAGTTTTATGCTAGAGCGGTTCTTCACAATAATTACTTTACCAGAGTAAATGTTTTTCGCTGTATGCACGCATGTACCGCATATACTTGGATTAGGTTTTAGGGCTTTGTGTAACCAATATCCTTGACTCGACGCTTCCAAAATTAGACGAAGTTTTTGTCTGCCCAAGGATTCAAGAAGACTATGCTAAGGAAAACATGCTGAAACATGCAGATGGAGAATCTGTGCGAACTACTTGTGATTGTGAATTTTCTGATTAGAGAGGAGCAACTGTTTTATCTCTGAAGCACTAAACGCTCAAAGTCAAGATCCATTTGGGATGCCACGTCTGTGTAAAGAAGTACAAGCACTTGCTTGCTGTCTGTTTATCTCTGCCTTGTCGTTGTCTGCAACGTCTCCTTCTCCACTTAGACATTTTAATCCTTCGTACTTAGTATTAAAGGTTAAATTGTGAGACAGAGAAGAAGCCGATCTATTTTTTACTGCCGAAGGCTTGGAACTGGAGATCTCAATTTTGAGCCCCAGCTACGACCGATCACAACATGACCAAGCTTAAAGTAGAATTCCACTTGAAATCAAGCCTAGAAATCCGCCCCCTCCTCCGATTATGAGTGCGAAGTTTTTGCAGGAAACTTGCAAATACTAGGATTACAACGGTTTATTTATTTTTCCCCATATCGCTTCTTTTTGGTAATGCACTCGAATCACATGCTGTTAAACAAAAGAATATCCCGTTAGGGTGTGTGTGTTGTCGAAAAGTCGTTTGGTCCAACGTTAGTGGGGACCTTTGGACAAGAGTTTGCCTGATGGCAGGATTAGCACTTTTAATAATTAAAACTAATTCGTTTAATCTCCGTCCTCCTTTTTTTCGGGAGGGAAGGGTGGAGGAAGAAAACTGCATGGCGAACATTGGATAGTTTTGCTGTCGCTGAACCCCTTTCCTGTGTGCACAATTCACTACATTCGTCTTTTTTTTTGCAGTGAGGTATTTCTAAAAAAAAACTGATGTAATATACGAATCTGAAAGTAGCCAAAGTTGGGAGGGCCGTCGATATGAGTGGAATCACTCTGGTATCCGAGTACAGTTAAAACAAACGTTACTTTGCGATAGAACAATGGACTCTCTCCTAACGTCGCCTTGTTACACACCTCTTTTGGGCATGCAACAGCATCCACGTCAGTAGGGAATGGCGATAATGTAAGGACTAGTCGACACTAGAGACGACATGCTTAATAGCATTTCCCAAATTGCATATTCTGCTAGGGAAATTGGCTTTGGATGGTGCGCTAATCCCACTTTGGAGGCAACTGAAACACAACAAGTCGGATTTTATTGCAACCCTTTCTGCACTTTAATCATTTGTCCATCATGGCCTAAACTAAGTTTCCTTTTCATTCGTTTCAATGGTTTATAAGGTCCTTCTATTGCCAGACACTGCAGATCGCAGACATCTATGAAATATGTCCCTCCTGCATGTATCCTTTTGTGCATTTGCCAACTAGTATAATATTCATTAAATTTATGTTTTCATGATCACTGAAACGTACACTTGAAATTCCCTCAGAAAAGGGATGAGCTTTTGATGACATTTTTACTTGTTGTCAGTGTATAAGTCCAGCAGTTCTATACGCTGCCTATGGGATGGCATCAGTTAGTCGTTAGGAAGGAATGGCAAGTAATTAGCAGTTGCACGAACGAGACTTAGGAAGAAGTATTTCACTAAAAGTATAAGAATTTTTATCCTCAAAGCTGTGCTTGCTGGCAAGTTGGAATATGTGATGATGCTGTTAAGTTGTCTCATCATGAAAAATGAAATCATAAAGTCTGGCAACAAAGTCGTGTCCATGGTACCATTTCCAGTGCATTTCACTGCCTCAAAGACTAGTTTGTCGTGCTCCATCAATGAGTAACACTGATTGCTTACCGTCAGCAGTGATCGTGTCAACCGGAATGTGGAACACAGTGTCTATAAGTTAATGAATGTCAGTGGGCCAGCGCTGGCGGTGGTTTGGCTTTGAGGCATACAAAATGTGAACTGGGGAAGAGTGATTTAAAGTGACGTCGCTTTTATGCACTGCAATGAAAGAGAAGGAGTTTAAATTGCGAAGAAAGACGATTCCCACATCACACATGAAGCATAATATTCACCCTTGGTTTTTTGTGGCGATTATCACAAACTTGCTGCCACGAGGCTTCATTTTCTTCCTCTTCTAATTTTTGCAATGCAGTAATTGAATATCAGGTCACCTAGAGACCATGCAACAACTTTCCTCTGTCGAGATCTAACTTGGTGAGCTTCACCAATTCTTCATTCATTCCAAAATAGGCATAGATGTCAATTTATTCGTTAAGCTACATTTCCGTCTAAAGCTGCACATCGTCCTCACTCACCAATATCACCTGGTAGAGCAATAAAACTACTGGACGATGGCAGTTGGGCCTTTTTTGTGCGCTCGGTTGTAGACGTTTTTATCAACACTTAGGCTAGGACAACTTCCATGCAGTTCTAAGTTGGGTTCATTCTGGAACTTTCTCGAAAGGAAGCGGCACATTGGCTTACAAATGGGAAATAATAACCCTTTTCGTGATTTATTGTCAAACTTTTGTGCACAATTTTAACTCAAACCGCTCATTTGTTAAACTGCCAAAGGCGGCGCAGTATTATTATGAGACCGCCTCAGAGGATTTGTTTCTCCATCCCCAAAGACTGGTTCATTTTCACGAAAAGAACTCATCGTGTCAAATTCACCAACATTTTTTACGAAGTTGTCAAATTTGCTATTGGTAGCCTTCGAATTGTGGGATTAGCTTGCAAAAACTGAATTGATTCCCGCTAAATGAGGGCCAGACTGCCATATGGGACACCGTTTACTTTTGCGGATAGAAGACCTTCGCTTCTTATGTACAAGCAAAAATTAGTGGTGAGTCGCGAGTGAAAGAATAACCCTCGGCTTAAAAATTAGCAATCACTAGAATGAACAAATTAAAACAGTGACAGCTTTGATGGAAAAGTGATCAACATGCATCTCTCTAGCAGGTCTATATTGTTTTCGGTGGTGAGAAGGACAGAAAAATCCACAGCGGTGTAGGCAATAGGGATGAGGTAAACAGTATAGAAGGTAATTCACAGATGGTGATATTTCATCCTAGGGTGGGAAAAAGGGCGATCACGACATCGAATCTTGCATTTTCTAGCGATGTGTTGAGATGAGGGTCGGATTTCACACGCTGGCTACCAACGTCACACGAGCGTGACATGCGTTTCTAAGCCCCTTCTCCGCCCCATTGCGGGTGGTCGCGTAGCCTCAGCTAGAAAATGCGAATTCTCTTGTGATGTCGAACTAAACTGGTTGTTTTTCTCATGCCACCCTAGTAACGATCACACGAACCTCCGATCAGTCCTTGTATTAACTCACTGTTCTGGAATCTTTATGATGGTGCTTTAAATTCTCTATTTATCATATTTTCCTTCTGCTTTTGTGTTTTTCCCTTCCACTTACATTAATGTTACCCATCTGACCCATCAAAAAAACCGAAAGTAGATGAATGGTTCTGTAAGTCCTAGAATGACATTGTAAAATATGCAAGGAAATTGTTGACTTATGTTAGTGAGATTTTGATGCTGTGTTTTTAAGATACACGACTCTTCTTCGGTCGGGAGCATAATCGCGTACTTATTTTCCATTGGTCGGTTGGCCAGCCACTTAAAAAGACACTTTCTTTCCTATTATCTCCGTTATGGAGTCTCCTTGCCTTGCAAGACTTGGCTTCCCAGTCACTGGATTTTGCAGTAAAATGTCGAACTTGTGTTACTCCTAGCTGCTTGAATCACTTATCCTCCCTATTCCGGGCTCGGGTGACAGCTGCCACCTGAGCGACAAGAGTATTTCTCGTTTTTTTGCCAAGAAAGCTAGGTACAATATGACATTCAAAGAGAAAGGTGTCAGCCACTGTCTAGCAACCAATCACTGATTTTGGAAAAGCAGTTTTTATGCCCCATTGCTTGCCACCTTTGCAACAGTCATGGACGGGCTAGCGTGTTGATGATGCGATGACCCTGCAGGGCGAGCGGTGGTGTACTTTTCGACACGCCCATATTTACGCTCTTGCCAGCTTTCTGTCTTGCATGAGGTGAAGAGGAAAGGGGAGGGGATGGCGGAAGAGGAGAGGTGGAGGAGTAGTAGGAAGAGGAGGAGAGTAGAAGATGTACTTTGTGTGAGGAAATGCGTTTTTTTTTCTTTTGCTACAACCACTGCTGTGGATGCCGCTTCTGTCATCTGCAATGCTTGCCTCGACCCACAATTGTATTTGCACATTTCACTACTTTGTGATTGTAAAATGCCAAAGATTTGGGTGTAGTCAAAACTACATAGCGCATCTATTCACATTTGCTTTGGGAAAGGGGATTGTTGGTGATTCCCATTTTTCATAATGTTTTGAGTCAGAAGTTTTTGGTTACTTTTGTAAAAAAAGCTGGAGATGGCAAGAAAATTAGCCACATTTAAAACCATCCCAATTTCTGCCTGG